CAAGTGATAACCAAGTGTAATAAGTGATGACTTTTATCCTCTTCCCAAATATAGCCAACACATTCCTGCCACATATATCAAATTATTGTATTTTCTGCATTTCAGCTTATTTTGTTCTGGTTGAGATTATTTAAGGGATTTCCTCCTTGTATTTTTTTTTTCCATCTTCTCTTCCTTAGCATTCAGCTAGTGTCCCTACTGGGGTTTTTTGTTGTTGTCTTTTGGGTTTCAGTGTCTGGTTCTTTTTTTTGTGTGGAAGACCAATCACTTCTGATTTATCACCCTCTCCAGGAAGAAGCCAAGTGTTCCAGGTCACAGCTGTTATTTCCACAGTCCTGCACTCCAAGTGTGTTTCTGTACATGTGTTCTGTCTTCTCCTGTGGCACATGCCATTGTGACTGTGTTGGTAGGAGGAATTCCTGCTGAGCTGCAGCCTCATCTGGTCCCCAACTACTGTCTGAAGAAGGAATTTAAGGCATTAAGGTGCAGATTCACAAAAAGCCCGTAGGTGCCTAACACCCAACTATACAGGGCTGCCACCAACTGTCCTTGTACTGACATTAATTGATATAACAAAAATACGTCATAGAAGAACAAAGGATTTCCTGAGCTAAGGCTACCAGCCCAGGAAAAATGGCCTCCCTCATGGAGGATGGAGAGGGAGCTGGGTCATATCTAGGCCTTCCTTAAAAAACATGATACTGGACTTTGGAGGTCTGCTATGTTTTGAACTGTATGTAAAGGAGGAAAAATGATACCTCCCCAGTTTTAAAAGGAATTGACATTTATTTTATATTCTCCAGATGGTAGAGAGAAATACACTAAGTAGGTGGATGATATGAGTCAAAAGAGAAAACTAGGGTCCCTCACTTTTCTATGGGAGACTGCTGTGCATAGGCAGAGTGCCAGCAATTGGGGGGCAGTTTGGGTAAGGTTTTGGAAAAGGAGAGTTGGCAGCTAAAGTAGTCAGGATGAATCTAGAGGATAGGTTGTAAAAAGAAAGTGAGTTGCAGCTTCACGTCACCTCTTGTCACATACTTAACTAGTTAAATCTGTGAATAAGTGTCTCAATGTCCAGGAGGCAAGGCTTTTTACTTTTTACTCTTTCAATACCTAGAACATAAGGTCTCTCTGTGTTGAGACATAATTGGCTTCTTACCCTTGAGTATAGGTAGGTAGGTAGGTAGGTAGGTAGGTAGGTAGGTAGATAGATAGATAGATAGATAGATAGATAGATAGATAGATAGATAGATAGATAGATGGATGGATGGATGATAGGTCTAGATCTGTGTCTGTATCTGTTTATACCACTTGCAAGGGGGTATAATGAGAGACAAGGCATGAAGGCATGTATGCATCACAGACCTGCGTAGGAGGACTTCGTGAGCCGCTTTCCCATGATCTGTGTCCAGTTCCAAAAGTCATGGCCTCAACAGCGCTAATGCAGCTATTTCAGAGCCCTTCTAAAGGATTTGTAGGAAGAGCTTGATAAAATACGTGATCCATCCTGGTATTTATACAGTGATTTCACTGTCATGGTATCTCTATATCTGCCATAAAGGAGAGCTGTTCTGAGTGTGTTAATGTGATAAAAGGGTGACATATAGAAAAGTGAGTCCAACATATATGCCTAGCTTGTGCCATTTGATTCAGAACACACTAGATCTGGCCACTGCAGATTCATTCTCTTTTTCTCCTTTCTGCCCACGCAAACACCTGTAATGAATTAATTTTTTTAAAAAGCAGAGAGCAAAAATCTGACCAAAATTAATTTTTTGTTGTTGTTTTGTTATGTTTTACAGCTAATACTATTAGGTCCAATAACTGAAGCCACTTATGCATGGAAAGATTTGCAGGAGAGGGGCTAAATCCAGTTCAAGTGGTAGAGTCTCCTATGACACATGAAGTATGAAAGTAAAATTAGAACAGAGGCATTAACATTTGCAAAGTATTAAAAATGTTGCTACATTGTCACAGTCAGGGTCATAAACTAATGCCATGGTGAGAAATCAGTCAGATAATAAAGCAGGAAAATTATTACAGTTTAAAACCAGGCAGAAAATTCTTGACATTTGTATGTTTGTGACTGACAGTACCTGCCCGCTCTGAACAAGGGTCCAAACTTCACACTTATCAGCTGCTGAGAGGATTTCTGCTCCATTGCTTGACCTCCACTGTAAATGCTCTGGTGAGAAAGAGCCTGTCCTTCCTTTTCCACACTGGCATGAAGCACAAAAGCATGCTGGGGAGCGATGCATCCATCTAGCACAGCAGAATCAATACCAAGAGTTGAGTAACACACTCATCAAAGCTGATGTTAATGCTTCTCTGAGAGAAGATTGTTTGAATGGCTTACCTTGATTAAAAGTATGTTTCACAAGAAGTAGGTTTATAAATTGTAATAAGCAGAAATAATGCATGGAGTGTCACATGCAAGAAACTTTGCTCATGTGTTATTAAAAAAAAATTGTTATTATAATTTAGCAGTTACTGAAAACCAAACGGTTATTTACTAGATTCACTGAATGTAAGACTGAGTACTTGATATTACTGAGAGCTTTCTCTGAAATAAATGACTATAGATGCACTTAGGAGCTGTAAACAGCTGGGATGTAATCTAAGCTCACCTGTAGCTCCATACACAGACACATATGCACTCTTTGTTCTCTAGGAATTCAGACAAGAAGTCTTATAAAAACTTTGTTGCACTTACCGGGGCTCTTTGCCCAGCTTTCCTGTATGTAGAGACAACTGTAAGGGACCACATGCCAGAGGGATTGACTCTGCGATTTGAGTAGGTCAAGAGAAACTCTGAGAAGTTACTACATTGCAAACAGAGGTAAAAAAGGGAAAGGCAGCTTTCATTTTTACATGGCCTGGCAGCCAGGAGGGCCAACCATGTCATGGGGGGCAGCAGGCAAAACATCTCCAGCCGGTCAAGGGAGGGGATTGTCCCACACTGCTCTGCACTGGTGCGGCCTCACCTTGAACACTGTGTGCAGTTTTGGGTGCCAAAAGAGAGCAATGAAGATTGTGAAGGGCCTAGGGCAGAAGCTGTATGAGGAGCAGCTGAGGGCACTTGGTCTGTTCAGCCTGGAGAAGAGGAGACTGAGGGGAGACCTCACTGCAGTTACAACTTCCTCGTGAGGGGAAGAGGAGGGGCAGGCACGGATCTCTTCTCTCTGGTGATCAGTGACAGAAGCTGAGGGGATGTCCTGAAGTTGTGTCAGGGAGGTTTAGGTTGGATATTAGAAAGAGGTTCTTCACGCAAAGAGTGGCTGGGCACTGGAATAGGTTTCCCAGGGAAGTGATCACAGCACCAAGCCTGACAGAGTTCAAGAAGTGTTCGGACAATACTCTTGGGCACATGGTGTGACTCTTGGGGATGGTCCTGTGCAGGGCCAGGAGTTGGACTCAATGATTCTTGTGGGTCCCTTCCAACTCGGCATATTCTGTGATTCTGTGACTCAAAACTCAGTTCAGATGAAAAACTAACAGCCAAAAGCTACTGCAACAGTTCAGAGCTTCTGTTAAATATTTGAAACACATCTTGTTAAAAGAAAAGACTAAATGATTAAATAGGCCTGTTTTATGTATATTGTTGTAGTGGCCTACAGTGGCCACAAAGAAGCTCTTGTCTCCCTTGGGGAGTGGAATGTGCCAACCTCATTTTCTTCTCTATCTCTTGCAAGAAATACTACAGGCTATATCCAATTGTCACATAATTTCTTATCTACAAACTTAAAAAATATGTGCAAAGATTTTGATCATGCTGAAAAAAAATCCCCAAACCGAAAGGTTTAACGCCAATGAATATGTGGAATATAAGGACTTGTGGTGGCTGTCTGTGCTGGTATTTGTGCAGTGAATCATGATTGTAATCATGATTGAATCATGACTGTAAATATGGTTAGCTTAACACATATTTAATTTATTTTTCCAACACCAAAATCAACATTGCTTCCACTTTAAAAGCCAGAGATCTCACTCTGGCAGGGAAGAAAAAAAAATAAATAACTAGCAATGGAAGATTATATCCTATTCCAGTATATTTGGATTTTTTTAAAAGAAAACTGTTACTATGTTGGAAGTCAAGAAACAAATTGCAATAAAACTCTAGGAATACTATAACACACACTACCCCAGGGTGTGGTATCACACTGGACACAACGAAAAAAGGGAAATGTCATCTGTGATAACAGCAAAATTGAGACACTGCACCCTTTACACACAGAGTTATCACTGCAGAAGTGACACTTTCAGAGTCTGCCCAAACAGCACAAACGCCTTGTAAATGCCAAAACAAGTCTGAAGCACTCAGATAAGTAGAAGTGATGAGAAGCGATAAGAGGGTTTTTTGGGAGGACAGAGAGAACAAAACAGCTGGAAAAGATATCTCTAGCATGTATGTGGGTAAATTTGTATACTGCTGAGGGAAAATGCAGTTCAATAGGTCGGAAAGCAGAGCCATTGAAGAGATACTTAGACACTGGGTTGATTGTAGCTAAAAGCTTTACCTGTATTTTATTAATTTTTTTTTTAAAAAAGGGGGAGGGCAGGTGGAGAATCTTTCTGCCTAACTTGTCTCTTTCTAGCTCGCTGCAGCAAGCGCAGACTGTTCCCGCCCCCGGGCACGCAGGAAGCCCCCAGGACACAGGTGGGGCCCGCGGTAAGGGGGTGCCGAGGTATCCGCGCCCCCGTCCCGTTCCGGCGCCGGCTCCCGCCCGTGAGAAGGGTCGTGCGGCGGCGCGGGGTGTGCGCGGGGAGCACAGGAGCGCAGGGCAGGTTTGCGGCAGGCTGCTGGTCCCTCTCCGCCCCCGCGCACACACACCTACGAGGCGCGTCGGCTGCGGGGATCGGCGGGGCTGCGCGGGGCAGCCATGGGCCACTGGCCCCCCGAACCTCCCCGACCTGCCCCGGCGGGTGTCAGCCCCAGCCCCTGGCCCCGAGGGAGAAGCGGCGCCGCCCGACTCTGCCCGCCCCGCCCGGGCGGAGCCGCCCCCGCCCCGCCGCGGGAGGAGGATGGGGCGGCGCGGTGGCCCCGCGCGGAGTCGGTGCCCCATGGCGGAGGTAAGGGCTCGGAGCGCGGGGGGCTGTCCCGGCCGGGCAGGCACCGGCACAGCAGCGGCGGGCGCGGATCTGCCCCGGCCGCCTCGGCCGAGCGACGGGAGTGCGCACCGGGCAGGCGGGCGGTCTGGGGGTGTTCGTGGGGGACGAGCTGTGGGGACGAGAAGGAGGATGGTTTTCTGAGCCAGACGCTTACCTTCCCCTCCTCCCCCACTCAAAAAAAAAAGAAAAAAGACACACACCGCCGGAGGGGGGTGTGTGCCCTCCCTGTGTCCCAGGCGGGGGTCCCGGACGGCGGGCAGCCCAAGCGGGGCCGTGCTGCGGAGCGATGCCGCGCAGCCTCTGCGAACGGAGTGACCGGCGGAGGCTCACGGCACCGGAGCGGGGGCAGCCCCGTAGAACTGCTCAGGCATACGCCTGGCCCCAGCGCCGCTGGCACCTGCCAGGCAGGGTTGCAAGGCCAGGACGGACAGCTCTGCGTGGCATTTCCTCGGAAATCGTCTCTGTTTTTTTCATGTGGGCACAAAGGCTTCTCAAGAATATCGCGCGGCTGCAGAAATGCAGCTTCTCTACAGTGCATCACACGCTGCACCCCTCATCTTGGCACAGGGCACGTGTGTGTACTTGGGTAACTACACTTGTCAGGAACATTTCTTACATCTCGGGAGACTTACTCTGCAGGGACTAACCTCCAGGCTCCTTTTATCGGCCCTCTGTTATCAGTGCAGCATCTTGACCAGTGTCCCTATCTTGGTCACAGCACATGCAACCCTTACTGCACTTTGGTCTGCTTGCAGCCATTCAGGCCGTTGTCCTGCACAGAGCTGTACAGCTGTGCACAGCTGTGGTCTAAAGATTAGCCAAGCCATTCAGCTGCAGGGCCAGCTTTTCTCAGTTAAGTTTCTGTTGGCATAGAGTACCATTGTTTCCTGAGTAGTTTATGATCTGGGAATTTTGTGATACACTGAGCGGATACAAAAGATACAGGAATGCCGAGATGGTGGGTTCGTGACTGATGTTCAGTACATTTTGAAATATCAAGTTGAACTACCAACATTTTTCAAGTTGGTTAAGAACCATTGTGAATAGCTGCTTCTTAATATGAATTAATGGACCAGCATTAATGGATATTTATTACATTTGTCATGCAGGGTAGATTTCTTTTTTTCCTTTTTATTTTGTTTTTTTCTTTACCTATTTCCCCATGTGTTAGCTTGGTTATTTTTGTAAAGTAGTTGAAAAACTAGTTTCAACACCCTGACTGTAAGGGATCAGTCCTTTCTATGGAGAGAAGATGATTCATTTCTTTGCTAAATGTAGGTCTGTGCCTCTCTCTTTAGCACATTTTATTTAAGTGAAATAATGATTGAAGCAAAATAAGGCAGTGTTCAGTTCTTGACCTAAAAGGTAAAGGGACTTTTATGTGAAAACCCCTGTGTCTCTTCCACCAGACTTTTCTTGAAGCACATGGCAAATCTAAAACATGGAACACAGAGGAAAAAGCTGATCTTTGTTTTAAAGGTGACCTTTGGTAGATTTGACTAAGTGTAGTTGTGTTGTCAAAATGTTATTGTAATAGTGTAATGGATTTCAGAGTGGTTCAGCTGATTTATAACCTTCATTTTACCTTTTGTAAAACTAGATTGGAGCTATCTTTTGCGTCTCTCTTATCCACACTAGATCAAGACAAGGAATCTCTGTAAACAGATGAAAGTATTTGTTTTGTTCTGCTTGGTATTGTGTGGCATCATGAAAAGTTAGCAGCTGGATTTATCCAACCCTGGATTAATTTTATTCATTGGACTCCAGTCCCTGCTGAGAACGTTTCTGGCAACACAATGCAAGCTGTTGGTCCCCATTGTTAGGGATCGGGTATGCAAAACTACTCTGGAAGACAACTGCCGATGAAATAGAAAATTAATTCATTGGCTGAAACATGCTAAACTGAATGGGTTTGCATGGCCTATTTTTCTGTCCTGTGCTAAGGTGAGGTGCAGTGTAGTGTTAGGACAGCCTGAGCACTTCATTTTTGACAATGGGTAAAGCAAACAGGTGGGTTCCTACATTAAGCTTGCTGCCCAACAGACTGGAGTCAGCCCGTTCATTTCTGTAATCAAACTTACATTTGCTGATGAAATGTAAACCCCACAATAATTGCCTTAGTAATAAAAGTAACAAAACATGTTTCTTCTGGAATACACCTTTTAATGGAGAAAATAATCATATTATCTCAGTGTCTTGCTATTCATTCTCTTAGATGTATGTGTGTAACAGGACCAGGGATAAAAATGTTTGTAGCACAGCAGAGACTACATGAAAAGAAGTATTTTTTTCCAGGTCCTGTCCATACTGCACTGTCCTGCATTGCCTACAGCAGGTCATAGTGGGTGGTTGGTAGAAGATGTGCCCTATGGCTTAGAGTATTAGTTTAGTGCCTCTGTGCTGTTCTGATCTGGGTCAGCCCATAGATTTGGCTTTCATGGAAGTTTAAGATTGAGACTAAGGTACTAGGGTTCCTGTCTGGGAACCATGAGTTACATCTTTAGAGGAAAAGAAGAAAAAAGTAATTAACTTTTACTTCGAATAGCCAGAAAACATGCATCAGTTCATGCAAGGAAATGGATTAATTTCTGTAGTAATGAAAGGTGGTTCAAGTCCAACCTGTTTGCAGAGCAACCCAGATCAAGAGTTAAGGCTCCAGTGGCATGTTTGCAAAGGAAGGAGATAAAAAGCCTAGAAGTGAACCTGGTCTTTTGGGGGCTGATTATTTCTCCTGGTGTTTTTTTTTTCCAGATACAACAGTGTTTTTGCTGCACCTAGTCGTTCTCTTCACAGTTTGCTGAAAAAAGTGATTGCAATCCTGTTTTTTTTCTTAAGAAAGGATTTATAAGGGGAGCACCACTTACTCCTTAATATTCAGCGCCTATTTGAATACTGACATCCACTACTGAACACATGGTGCCTAACTTTTTTTTCCTACTCTAACCTATTCACACAAGTAGGTCCCATTGAGTAGGCCATATGTGAGTAGGATACATTGACTTACACAGGTAAAGGTAGGCATGTCTGCTTATTTTTTCCCCAGTGTGTTTGTAAATTATTGTTGGATTGCTCAGGGAACTAGCTTTTCTAAGGAAAACAGTAAATTGAAATTGAGGCACTCTGTGGCTATGTACATTTTGAAGTTTTAAGCACAGAAAAATCCAGGGAAAAAAAAGTGGGATGGGCAAGACTTGCAGCTGACGCTGAGTATAGGTCTTATAATGGTGGGAAAAAAAGAGAAGCCATTCCATGGGCACATAACCTGAGATGCAGTTCGTGCCCCACCCTGCCAACTTCTCAATGTAGCATTGCCCCAATAACACTTCTAAAAGCTGTTACATTAAGCTCTAATTCCATATGCAAAATGAATGAGACACATTTGCTGAAGCATCTTAAAAACTGTGTGTGGAGAAACTAGAGGCCTTAGTGCTGCAAGCGTGGCAGCAATCCTACGTATATGGTAATAGAATTCCCAAATACAGAGAAAGTCTCAAGAAGGTTATCATACAACAGCATCTTAGCTGAAGGTCTTGCAAGAATTCAGAGCTGCCCTACTTGATTCAGTGGTTTTCTTTTCCCTTTCTTTTTTCTTTTTAATATCAATATTTCTATGTGTGCATGTTATGTATGTATATATGTATCTAGACATTTGAAGAAAGGGAGTTTAAAAATTCAGTGGCTTCTTTGTCTTTTACAGAATATACATGGGGAAATATTTAGATTAGCAAGAATGGACTATGTAGCTCCTCAGCTTTTTATCCGTCTAAATCTTAGAGTTAAAATGTTCTTTCCAAATCCCATGAACCCCCAAGCACTGATACAGCCCACGTCACGAAAGAGGCAGTGCCTGAATAAGGGCAGCAGTAGCTGTGCTGGGTCATTGCACAGTTCATGAGACAAGCTCCAGCTCAGGCTGAAACAGAGAAGGAAGGGTCAGCTCCCACCCAAATCAAGTAGGATTGTTATATCTGGATGTATTAAATTCTTTTTTCAGGTTTTGAAAGCCTTCCCAAAAGCTGAATTCCTGCACTTGATTAAAGAACACTTACTCTTATTACTAATTAACAGCATAACGTTAACAGTTTGTGAATTACAAAATTTAAGGAAGAAGATGCACAGTGGATAATTTGTATTGTATGTACTGTTGTCTCTATGTTCCTGTTTAGAAAGGGCAGTTAGGTTATGTAAAACCTCATACAAGCACAGTTCTTTGAACACTGTTAGAGGCAGAGTTTCATGGTATTAAAGTACTGGAAGGCAGGAATCCATCCCAGACTTTGGGCACCATTTGAAATATTTACATTGAGGAAGAATAATTTGAGTTACGGATTTTTTTTTTTGTTTTGTTCTGAAGGCTTTTCTCCAGTCCATTTGACAGCAGTCCCACTGAGGCTGTGTGCTTAGCTTACAGAACGTATTTCAAATTATTCTTTTCTTTTTTTCTTTCAAACTTATTGAGCACTAGGACCTGGAAATATTGCTGTGGAGGAACATCCACAAATAGATAAATGGGCTGGGTCCCTGCTTGTGGATGGCTCTTACCAGTTAGCCAGAACTCACCCAGGTTTAATAAGGAGGTGTGGGAAGGATCACTTGGTGTTCCAGAGACAGGTGGGGTAAGAGAAGAACCTCAAACTTCCAAGGTACGTATAGTCTTGAAAGACTGTGATTTTGACTTTTGTTATGATGTGTTGCAGGAGGCACAAGGGTTTGAAAAAGCCGAGTCTATGGAGTGTGCAGGAAGGGTGTTAGAGAGAGTTGGTGGTGTAGGGCTGACCTATACTAGCATTTTCCTGCTTTCTAGAAAGTGGGGAAGGTATTTCCAGTGGGGGAAGTGCATGAAAAGTGCATGTGAGAGTAGATGAGGGGAATATTGGAATTGGAGTGTGGTAAATGTGGAAAATAGAAGAGGAATTACATAGAGTATCAGAGGGAAGGTGAAGATATTCAAATCCTAAAGG